TCTGGCATACTGATTTTTTCAAACAGTTGCAATACTGATTTGTCAAACAGTTGCATTATTTTAGTTTAAACTAAGTTTAAAATACAGCAATCTCATATATTTACATTTTAAAGTCATGGATAAACAAAACAAGTCACATAATTCAATAAATATTTGATTTTCCAAAGCTTTTTAGTAGCATAAATGTTCAGGTATAGAGGGCACTCTCTTTGAGTTTTGTGCAAATATTGCTAATTCTTAAAGTTTGTATGTTGTCAGTAATAATGCATAGTTTTATAAAGCTGTTTGATCAAACAAATTGCCGACTGAAAATGACTGTAAAATTCACAATGCAGACTTAAATCAATCATCAGTACACATCAACGATGTGATCATGAGCATTTTTTTACTTCTCGTAATATCTTCTGTTATTTATAATAGCAAATTATTCAAATTCAAAGAACCAAAGAAGTTGAACTGAAAACATTTATATTTAAAATATAAATCAATTTAATTTTATGCATGGGTATTTATTAATTGTGTTTGGTTATTCACAGTTTTCTAGACAGTCGCAAATTATGTTTTGTGTTAGCAAGTCTGATACACCCGGAATGGTGAAAATTACGCAAATTTTGGATTTTCTACACAAAAATTTAACCATAAATATGCAAAAAAATATACAATAGCAGTAAAAAAAATCAACAAATAGGGTGTATTAAGTTGTAATAAGTTTCTTATCCATGCCATTTATCAACACTTGATAGTATAAAATCAAATTGTCTAATTTAACAACATACTGGATAGATACTGTTTTAAAGGCATAAAATGTTGCTATTAAAGTAGTTAAAGGCTCATGTCAGTAGTTAAAGGTTCATGTCAGTAGTTAAAGGCTCAAGTTTCCTAATTAATAAAATAACTGCTTACATTTGTCTGACACAATTATGCAAATTAATGTAGAAAAAATTGTTCTTGTATTTTTTGGCAATATGTATTTATTCTTGAATATATATAGTTTATACTTGAAAGAAAAGTTAAAATTCATTATTTTTTCAGAAATGAAATATTTCAAGACCTAATATATATTTAAAGTGCCTCAATCTAAATGTGAATAACATTATTTTTATTGAAGTGCCTTATGAATGAAAGGCAATCCAATCTGCTTGGTATGATGAAAATAATTTTACTTTATTAAATTTTAATTTATAAAATATAGTTGTAGTGAGTGGTTTCATTGTACAATTTTACTTTCTGTGTGTGTTGGTATTAATTCTGTATACCATAGTTGTACTATGTACTATATTGCTCTATCGCAGTGACTTTGTACATGTATGATAGCGGACTCTCTGGTCAAAAAATAAGCATATTTGAATAATCCAGTATACCATAAAATAGCTTTTATTAGATATGAGCTTCCAATAGAACAAATACGGTATATACTATATTGGTAAGTACGAGTAGATCCTTCAATCATAATCACTGTTGGTGCTCTGGTTGCTTAGGCAACTGAGCACTCGATAATTTCAAGTTTGTATGTCACTCTTATGTGTCACTGCCCAGTAGACCATTTTCCGTTCACTGCGAGAATCACGCGTTATGCGTGAAATCAAACGTAAAAACAGGACAAACAAAGGTCATAGTGTTGTAGTCGCGTCAAACATCGCGTGGGATTCGACAAACGCCGAAAGTATTTCGGGGACATTTCCATGCTTAATAATGTGCTGTCCACATTTGATGATAGGCAATTTCGATTAAGTGAGGGTATTCGGAAGCAATATTCCTCTGTCAAAGATCGGCCGGTCAATGTAAGCTGCGAAATAAAGAAATTCTAGTTCAAAATTAAATCGTTCGATTTTTGCGGCAGATGTTCGACGCGCGTCTTTCATGCATCTCGCGAGATCTCGCAATTGTTCAGAAAATCACCTATTTTATTTCCAGAAATTGCAATTGTTTGAGGAGAAACAATCGTTTGTGTAAAGTATAAAGGAAGCATATATACGTCTCAAAAAATAAAAATATAAAATACTTATTTTTTTAACAGAACAATGTCATCTTTGATGTGCCTGTAAAGGATGGTGTTTTTGGTTACAATCCCATGCATTTTACTCTGCATAGAAACATGTATTGGGTCATATGCTGTATTAAGATCACTATCATGATCAACCTTTGAAATTGGGCTTTGAGTTCATTGCTCTGTGTGCTCTGCTTCAAAGTCAAAAAAAACAAATCAAATAACTCATTAAAAAGTTTATCAAAGTTTTTCAGTAGCATAAAATATATCGGTAAACAATTGATTTTTATGCATAGGTATTTATTAATTGTATGTGGTTATTCATAATTTTCCAGAGGGTTTTTATTTTATTAGGGTTATTTGATTATATGGACGTCCACAAATTGTGGTATACATTGAAAGATTCACCATTGACCCAATTCAGCAAATGTGAGTCCATGTGAATTGCAACATTATTCAAAAGTTTTATTAGAAACAAATAATCACAACATTTTAAAACATCCTGAAAATAATTGCAGTTCAAATGTTTAGATTATATTCCCCATGATTCACTGCATTTCTGCTAATCAAGTAATTCACATCAGTCTCAAGACAGCAGTAGAAAAATGAAATTATTGGTAATCATAAATGTAAATCAGATTATGATTTGATATTTGGATTTTTTTGTATCGCTGTATGCATTAGGTTGCTACAGTGTACCAGTGAGATCAACTATAATTTTTGTGATTTTTTTAGTTAAAGCGGGAGGGTTGTCACCTGTGCACGATAACAACACATGCTGAAAATGCAAAGGCTCATGGGTAAACGCTTGTTTGTAAACAATGACATGCTATGGCCATCAGACGCATGCACAGGTGATGACTCCCTCGCTTTAAATATTGATAAAATAGTTGTAACCACATTCATGGGTAATCTGAATGAATGTATCGGTACTCAAAACTTCTTCTGACATGGAAAATGAAACCACAGTATTTTGTACTAAAAAACTTAAAGTTGTTTTATTGAATCACAAATGTATGAAGTTATTCTAATATGTAAATGTTTCTTAGTTTACTTTAGTATAATTTTGTGGATTTCTTTGTTTGCAATAAATTCTGAATACTGGTCACATTTAGTAATTAAAGTGTGGCTCCACAATCCCCAGAATTGCACCAGTGCATTATGGGAAGTTTACATATGCAAACTTATCTGAGTTGTTGTGCTTTGATTTTATGTACACCGTTGTCTGGTATAAAAGGATGTATTGTTAAGATCAACATCTTGATTTGAATAAACTTTGGATTGACAGCCATTTTGAAGATGAGTATGACTGCATAGGGTAAGCCATTTGTCAGGGGGTGGAATACTGTTACCAGTGCAATTGTTTCCTTTTGGTGTCTTAACATTGTTATTTTGTGCAAATGTGGCAACATTTTTTTCCTGCAACACCTGACATGAAGGTTTTTATCTTCTAGCTTACAAAACGAATTTTCTGCCTACCCTTCATGGTTTCAAATGGTTTGAAACATTCTTTCTTACTATAATGCTTTGAATCCTGCCTAGCTAGTAAACTAACATTGAAATGTTGTAAATATTCATGGTTGTATGTGAAAGCAAAATCAAGTACTCCATACTACGACAAGATTTATCATTTAAATGATGTCAGCTGACACATAAGAAATTAGAAGTTGAATTCAAATTTTATATTTTTTTATTATTTTCCAATATTTGTTTTAATACTAAATACTCATGAACAAATGAAAATATACATACACGCACAATTAAATTGACTGTGATTTGCATGAACTCTCAACAACAATTACTTTATTCTTACATATACAATTTTTAATTTTACACAGAAAATGTTATATATTAATTAACCTGAAATTGATTTTGAATATGTAGCGCTCTCTAGTGCCTAGACCTTCTTGGGAATAGTCTGGTCCACTATTTTCTTAACCGCCCTCAGCGTTGAAATTGGGACAGGGGACCAGACTAGGGAACAAATAGTCTATTTAATAAAAAATATATATTTAGCGCCCTCTAGTAATGACCCACTTCTGAAACAATGTTTGAGACATAACTGATGTATAGCACCCTTTAGTAGTGAAACACTAAACTATTTACACTACGATGTAAAAATGATGTATAGATGTGTCTAATAATGAAACTTGAGTGACAAAAAAATGATGTATATGATCAAAGAGGAATTTGCTTCAAATATGTAACCACTAGAGGGCGCCACTCATTCGGAAGGCATATTGAGCGGTTTATAGTCTTTACTCGCCAACGAATTAAAGGGGAGCATAGGTCTGGTCTGAAATTTGACATCTATGAATGAATTCTGGCGACAAAAACAATTTTTATATGCTACGAAATGCCCTAAATATCAGGTATAAAACAGACTGTGAAATAGATTACAAACTCCCACTTTACACGGCGTTATTTTGCTTCTAGAGGGCCAGTCAATGACGTGATCAGTCACTGATGATTGAACCCATTCATGCTAGTACGTCAATCCCATATAAGTGCAACTATGAAAGACCTTTTTTACTGACAATTTAGGAGTTCAAACATGGTGAGGTGTTGTGCAGACACTGGGTTTTTTGTTTACTATTATTATTTCATTTAACACTACATGTCTTCTGATCACACGTTTATCTATTTTAAGCAATTTGAAATGAGTCAACTGTTGTTTTTAATAGTAACCAGTCCACAATGCGATGTTTTCAATCATTAGCCATGTCACATGGTTTGTCAGTAGTACATCAATATTACCAATATTTATGTAAATTAACATAGCGATGTGCACTAGGATTGTAGGTGATCACTTTATCGTATTTTCGTTATATAATTAAGCAACTCACACGCGAAAGTGTGGGTTATTTCAATTATAGAACCCTTTGACCGTCGATTATTGTTCTAAGCAAGCCTTTCTGGTAACCGACAATTGACAAGTTCCTTCGGTGGAACACGGTTTACTTGTAAATTGGATACATGTAATTTCTTTGTTGCAAATTGTCTGGCTTACTGGTTATCCAGGCAGTTCGACAGAAGTTGTTGAACGCGAACGAGGGTGCAATTTACTTTGTACTTTTTAAAACAAACATTTGTTTGCTAGTTGTAAGATCGACGACTCGAAGCAAGTTCATTCTGATCAGCTAAAATGTGGAGTAGCCACTCACTGA